CTGGAAATTAAAGCCTCAGATTTCCAGCTTTGCCTGGTTGTTATTTTGACCACTAGGCAAACCATTTGACTATCACTCAGTGCTCTTGCATTGTCACAGTTATGGTTTGAGTGCGGTGTTGATTTAACTGTGTTGAGCGAAAGTGAGGAGTAGGGAAAGTTACAAACCTGTAACCTGTCATAAGATATCCACTTTATTTGGCTGAAAATCCTTGTGAAGAAACTTTTACAAGAAGGCTTTTTGAAAAGTATGAAATTACCTATTACCCAAGACAAAATATCAGGAAATTATACATAAGTTGCAGGCGACTTTGGGTGTCGACGAAATCACCGACGTTGCTGCTCCTCATATCGACGAAATCACCAACGTTGCTGCTCCTCATGTCGACGAACTCATTGACGTTGCTGCTCATCACGTTGACGAAGTCACTTACGTAGCTGCTCATCTTGTCGACGAAATCACCAACGTTGTCCAAGTCACATACTTCGCTGCTGCTAACGGGCAAGCCACAAACCTGAATTATCCTCATGTCGACCAAGTTGATGGCATTGGCACTGTTGAAAACGTGGCACTTCTTGATGCTAGACTGGCTCAAATACACTTTCATTGAGAGCAGAGCAGGAAATTCCAGATGGAACAAGCAGAACGGATGGTGAAAAGAAGTAGAATAGAACTTGCTCTAGGCCAGAACAGTGACAATGGTGCCATTCCCATTCCTCTTGTTGATCGGGGCCGTGGCAACCCACGAAACATTCTGACTGTTGTTTTGGACAGAAGTGACAACAATAACTACATGCTGGCTACCAAACATGGAATCTTAAAAGGGGCAAACAGCAGGAACGAATTTGAACTTTGCCCTGAAAAATTACTTCTGATGAGTGATGTTAACTGCACCACACATGTCAGTATAAGAGAAGCGGTTGTATTTGGCTCTCAGTGTGGCGGTCAAGGTTACATTAAATGTAACTGTTCAGGGTCAAAGAAATGTCAAACAAACAGATGCAAATGCTTCAAAGCAAAGCTCAAATGTAATAGTCGTTGCCACCAATGTCTCAACTGCAAAAACAAATGAGCTAATGTAAATGACCATTCTATATTTAATTATCACTTTATATTATTAAATTTGTTTTCATTAAACGGGATGAATAAATTATAGCATGCATCCCCTGTCATTTCCTTTACATCTGTTATTCCGCCATTTTGTTTTTTTTCTGATGGTAGTCATTCCTAAGAAATGCCTGACTGCCTATTTCAGTCATTCTCTGAAAATGACAAATATTAAAATTTTTAGGCATTCCTGGAAAGCCTGATCAAAACAGGAATTATTTGGGAATGACTGAATTTTCAGGCATTTCCTGAGAATGACTAGTTTCCGGGTTTGACTGTATTATAT